AAGTTATAGAATTTATAAGAAGAGCCTTAAATTGTTCATTGTCAGGTCAAAGCTACAGAAATAAGAGGGAAAAAATTAATTTAGGGCCCTTCTTACAAATTCTATAAGTTTGCAAAGAAAGGTCGTGCAGAGCTGGGAGATGTTTCATTTTAATCAGAAATTTGCGCGCTAATGCTGCATTATTAAGAAAGACTTGGGTTACTTTTTGGGATTTCTGAAAAACTGGTTTTCCAGAAGACTGGATCTTTGAAGAGCTATGGGCCAGTCCCATGATCATATTCGGAATCAGCATGGTCGATAACCTATAACCCACTAGATGTCGATCAAAAAGCTTTTAATCATCTCGAAAGGTTCCCGCGTCAGTTAAGTCCAAACAGAGAATAGATTAAGAATCCTGTTCAAAGTGTTTGCTTTGTTATTTTATGGAAATAACTATTGCATTTTATCAAGAGTGAGAGTATCGCGTCGAAAAAAAACAGCGAAAACTGCGTTTTAAAATAGTTTTTAAAAAAGTGTTGATTCACAAATGATCCTTAAGCTGTTCCCAAGCAAAAAAGCGTTTTTGGAACTAGCATAATCTAGGTATAACATTTACGTAGCTGTCTTTCCATCTATGTTAAGCTAGGACTAAAAACGTTTATCTTGCGTGGATTCTAGGTATGATTATCACGTTGAAAAAATTTAACATTTTCTTTGGTCACCAATATTGAAAATTTCTTCCTTTACCATAAAGTATAAAATGCTAGAAAGAATATCTTACGTCTAGCGGAAAGAGCGCTCAGAAAACTTCTGAAACTTCGAGATTCAGTTCAGTCGATCTGGTCGTTATCATTTTCTCACGGAACATCTCTGTTCATTGTCCTAACTGTTGTGAAGGTTCTTTTGGCACTTTTCATGCGCAGATATCTATACTGTAATCTTCGTCATCTCGTTTTCCTAAACCATTCATGATTAATGATTGCTATTGTTTTTCCCCTCGTCGAACAGTTGGCTGTAATGCTAATATCACACAGAATTGAGGTTAGGACTAATACTAGTAGAATAATCGATCTCAGCTTGTCAGTCTTATTCGACGATAACGACGAGAAATTTATTTAGTTCTGTCTGTTTTCTGTATGGTCATAGACATGAAATAGTTCATTTTTAGCAACAGAGTAGAATGATGTGTGTTTGACAAGAATAAAAGGGTGAAGTCTTCCTCTTTGCTCATCATTAACTGAGTAGAATAAATAATTGCGCTGCTTGATCTTGATATTAATTATTAATCACAAAGTCACAGAGTAGTGAAAGATAAGACATACTTGGCTATATTATTACAATTCTCGACTTATTCTTCGTTTCTTCAGTCATCCGCTGGTCAGACGAGATGAGAATGAATTTTTTCTCCTAATCACCGATTATAGATAAAATAAGAAGTCATTTTCTGTATATTGAAATGAAAGGAGGATCGCTTCACAACTTCATATGGACAGATAAAAAGTCATACTTTTATCAGACGAGATAAAAACATAGGTATTTCTTAATGAAACTGAATAATGAGTGGATATTTCACACTTACACATTCAGGATCGATATATCTACTCTAATCTCTGTTTTCAGTCGTCTAGCAGGTCACAGAATACACTTAGATTTTCAATTTATCTTCGTTACCCTTGTCTTGCGATTTATTCTTTTTAGATTCATACAAGATGAATAAAAACTTGGTGGAAAAATCATCATTTTCTCAACCAAACAAGGTTTACATATCTTACAATCAGATTCATGAAACAATTCGTACTGCTGTTGAAAAATCAGATCTTATAAAAACGTTTCAACCCACATTATTGTTAGCAATAAGTGCTGGTGGTTTTCTTCCAACACGAATATTACGTAATATCATTAAACATTATGGTGGAAAAACATTACCAATACAAACAATTGGCATTTGTCTATATGATGATGATAATGTAGATGTTGATTTCGATATGCGTCAAATAAGAAAAACACAATGGCTAACATACGATAAGAATAATCAGTTAGCAGTTAATTTACAAGGTCAAAATATCTTGATTGTTGATGAAGTTGATGATACACGAACAACACTCAGTTATGTTGTCAACGAATTAAAGCATGATATTGATCAACAGCGACAAGAAAAAACAACAGAAGAATGGACTGAACCAAAAATTGGTATATTTGTGGTACATAATAAAGGAAAAGAAAAACGAGCGCAATTACCAGATGAAATAATGAAAAATGCGTATTTTGTTGGTAAAGAAGTTGGACAAGAATGGATTGTTTATCCTTGGGATGCAATAAACATCGAAGAACATACACGCTTAGCAGAAAATATAATTTCATAATATTTTACTTTCTCAATAGTTTAGAACCGTTCGTTTAGTGATATTATTCATGCTCTGAATATTTTTATAAGTAAGCATATACATTCATATGATTATATCTGCTACAGATATTTTAATGGGTCGGGGGACCAGAAAAATAGATTCCTTAGTGAAGAGTGCACTAACACTAAGGTAGTCTGTTACTGATAATGTCAAAAGTATCTAAGAAACTTTTGGATATTTGAATACCTAAAAGTATTCATTATAAGTGAGTCGGTGGCATGTATTTCATGTACTGAAGATGATTTTAAATAGAGTATTTGCCAGTGCATTGTAGTACTTTTGTTTAGCAGAAAACTCGATCTTGTGCATGTGGAGGGTGTCATCCGCAAGCTAGTCAAAAATACTTTATTTTATACCGGTCTCTATGGTGATCCATCGGCCAAGATCAATCGATATCGAAAAATTGCAAAAGCTATGAGCGATACGGAAACGTTAAAAACTCTCAAGGGAACCTAAATGATAAATCAGTCTTCATAATCGACTAGTTTGAGCTTTTGATGAACAATCTCAGAAAATAGCTCTTACAAGAGCTATGAAAAAAACTCATCTTAGATATGAGAATGAATTGAAATAAGTTAGAAAAGACAAGAAAACTTCACCTTGTGTTTCAACAATCGTATATTTTCATTTATCTCTACTATTATCTTCAACTTTCTCCCGAATTCATCAAGTTACCTTATCTCTGGTAGTTGTACTGAATCTCAAATTGAACTGTTTACTACGCTGTTAAACCAGATAGTCGAAAAAAGTTATAGGTATAAATAACTTGATGTATTGTATACAATGTTGTATACTCATTCTATTGCCTTATTTTGACTGGACTTTTGTCGAAAAGACATTTGCACACATTGCCCAGTTGTTCTTATGGAAAATAAGCTCAAAATACGTATTTAACCTTGGTTGTTTTGAGATTTCATCAGAGAACGTCG